CCTCTCTCCTGCCGTGCAGTGCTGCCTCCCTTGTCCTCTCTGCTCCCATGCAGTGCTGCCTCCCTGGGCCTCTCTCCTCCCGGGCAGTGCTGCCTCCCTGGGCCTCTCTCCTCCTGTTCAGTGCTGCCTCCCTGGGCCTCTCTCCTCCCGGGCAGTGCTGCCTCCATTGTCCTCTCTCCTCCCAGGCAGTGCTGCCTCCATTGTCCTCTCTCCTCCCGGGCAGTGCTGCCTCCCTGGGCCTCTCTCCTCCGGTGCAGTGCTGCCTCCCTGGGCCTCTCTCCTCCTGCGCCTTTCCTTTGTCCCTCACACTCTGCAGTTCTGCTCTTCTTACCATGCACTTGTTCTCTCTGCTCCACTGTGTCCCTTTCTTTCCTTTCCTTCAATGAGGCTCTCCGTGGGGGGGTCTATTCCTGCTCTTTTCACCTCCTGTGGTCTCTCTGAGCTGCCCCTTCAAGCCCACTGCTCCATGACCTCCACACTCTGATCGTTACCAGTCTCCCAGCCGGCCCACTCACCCTCAGCTCGAATACAGGGCAGGCACCGTATCTCTCCCTTAAACCTGGCTCTCCTGCTGGGCTTACATAACCCAGCTATTCACCTAAGCTGCAGATGTAGAAGTCCATACTCCCCTCTTCCCCTGCAGCCCCTGCTCCGTTCCCTTCTGCGTCCCTCTTGACTGCCTCAGTTCAGACCCTCAGCTGGTCATTTCAGCCAAAGCAGTGACCTCTTGCCTTCAGGTTTCCCCTCTTCAGCCCATCTCCGTGCTACCCCAGACTGGTCACACACTAATAGTGATGATGATGATGGTGGTGACAATGACGATAGATGACCTTGAGAGTACCAGAGTCCATGCCAAGGAATGTGCTCCGTCTTACTCAGTCTGTATGATAACCCCAGAGAACAGCTCTGCCTACAACAATTTTACAAAATGAAGAAAGACACGGAGAGCCCTTCGGGATGAGGGATTTGCTGCAGGAGATGTACCCGCATGTTAAGAACTGGGGTTACAAAAAGCCCTGATGTATTCAGGGTGGGATGAACATGCCTAGCCCATGAGTTCAGATTCTAGCTCAGTCCCTCAAGAACTGTGAGAATTAGGTGAATTACTTAACTTCAGAGAGCCGCATGATGTGGATAATAATATGTATCCAAAAGGGTTCTTATACGGACAGAATAACAGTATCTGTAACAAGTATAGCACAGTGCCTAGAAGGTAGTAGATGCTTAAAAAATTAGTATTTTGGAGTTACTGGGTAATATTCAAAGTTAAAATATCTGTGTTCTGATGATGCAAACTTGTGATATGTCACTAGGGAATCTCGGAAGTTATGCTACTTACAATCAGTCAGGATACATTCCCTCTGTTCTCAAAAAAGAAGTGGGGTCAGCTGGCCAGAGGATCCACTTAGCCCCGATCGGTCCATCAGCTTCAGGTAAGAACAACTTCAGATGCAGTTTTTGAGATTTCTGGGCAGAAAGGAGCTTTTCCTTTTTACGTTTGTCCATTCACTTTCCTCTAGTGAAGACTTCTAACTTAGTCTCACCTTCCTAACAGTTGGCAAAACGTCCTGGTTTTTGGCCAAATATGGGCTCTGAGAGTCTAAAAATTATAAGAAAATCTGCCTCTGATTACACGGTTACTCCGTGCTAGGCACAAAGTCCAGGGCTCGGTGGGGTGATGGCATTTACTCCTCACAGTGACCTGGTGGTGTCCGTAGATCTCTCCTTTATGGATGAAGAACCCGATGTTAAGTAACTTGCCAAACGGTCACCCAGCTGGTGGAGCCGCCACAGACACTGGGTTAGCCCACGGCCAGAGTGTGCTGGACACACGGTGAGTGGTGGGGAGACTTATTTTTCAGGGCTTTAGACCCAGGCCCTGGCGCCACAGAGTGAAAGCTCAGGGAATGTTCACAGTCTATTACGTTAACCTGTGGTTGTCCTACAGTCCCAATTTAGAGATGGAAATCAACACGGGCCGATTTCACACCCTGCCTTTTGCTTTGCAATAGTATTAGTCAGTGAGGGGGTTTATCCCTCCACCCTCTGATGTCACGGTGTAGCACGTGACAGCCATGAGCAGGGCACACTCTGGAAGTGCGGGTGAGGATGCTGCCGTGCGGAGCAGACCAGATTTGCCCGTGATTGTTCTCTGCATTATTGTAATCTGAAATAGATCTGCTGAGGCCCCTGACATAAAGGCAGCAGAGAATCAGAAGTTCGGGAGCATTCCTAATTGTGGTTTAATTTACAAGGTGACTCAGAAAGTATTCTGGTGGCCTATCCTCACCAGGATCTTATAGTAAAACTCCTGAGCAGAGTTGTCAATCTTTTTTTTTTTGAGACAGAGTCTCACCATGTCGCCCTTGGTAGAGTGCCGGGGTGTCACAACTCGCAGCAACCTCAAACTCTTGGGCTTAGGAGATTCTCTTGCCTCAGCCTCTCAAGTAGCTGGGACTTCAGGCACCCACCACAATGCCCAGCTAATTTTTTGTCATTGTTGTTTAGCAGGCCCAGGCTGGGTTTGAACCTGCCAGCCCCAGTGTATGTGGCCGGCGCCCTAACCACTGAGCTATAGGCGCCAAGCCCAGGTTGCCAACCTTTACAGTTCATGCTACTGGAGCTAAAAATGTAAAAAAAGCACCAGATTTCTTTAATTTTTTATTTCTTACCACCGTAAAACTGCTGAAAGCAAACAGTGTTCAGTTACCTTATCTGTGAAAAGGACTGCTTCAGTCTGTCTCTGCTGAAACCAAAATATAAGTGAACACTTTATGCACGGCAGTGATTTTTATAAAGCCTCGGATATTTTAAGCCAGCCTTACAATGAATCATTGTCCATGACTTAGCAATTTTTAATACAAAAGAGGTAATCATAATGTTTTAAGTTATTTTGTTGTCTGGCCCCTGATCTGAGTAATTGAGATTGGCTCTTGTTAAAAATACCTTTTGTGAGCTATTGATGATCTTTATAGAGTGATTGTTCTGTTGGATTAACATGCATATTCCTGTTTTCATTTTTTAAAGTAAATGCATTCTGATAACTTTTCATCTCTTCATTTACTCTGCTTATCATATTTTTCTACAGACCGTGCTAGGAGGAAAGGGAAAAAAGAGAAGTAAATATTAACCACTGTCAGGTGGTCAATGCAAATCCTTAGGAAAACACTGGTCTGTAGGAGATGTGTCTTCCAGTCCTCCCACTTGGGTGACAGTTTCCCACAAGAGACTAAAACCAGGTCATTACCGTATTTACTCAACTATTTTCCCCTCCTCGAATAGTCTCTTCTTTCTCAGACTCGCTCTCATTTTGAGAAGGAAAATCAAATTAATGTCTTCCTCCTCCCCCATGGAATCTTTCCTCCTGAACCTCCTAATATCTCTTCATCTTGGACTTTGAAACAACAAGGCATTCAAGGGGTGATTTCTTTCATGTATAGCCCCCTTTAGCTGCCCAGTGCCCTGAGTGCCCTGTTTCAAGACTCACTGTACCTTAGCTCATATAATCCTGCTTGGTTTCTCTTACAGATCACCTCCATCCCACAGTTGTTTTATATCTTGCAAAAAGTTACATTATAGTGGTGTTGATTAAATCCACAGCTCAAGGCAAACTCCTTTCTTTAGCACACATTTCTACAGGAAGCTAAATGCCCTTGACGTGACACATAGCAAATATTGCAGAGCTGACTGCTCCTCTCTTGGGGAGGTGGCAAGGTGTGGGAGGTCTAACTAAGGCACAAAAGCGGGTCTTGGCCAGCCAGGAGACCTGGGCTCCTCTGTCAGCCTTTGGGTTCTTCACCATGGGTGCTTGTGTCCTAAAACTATTATCTGGGAAAGGACTGCCACCTTCTTAGCAAAATTATTTCCTTTCAGAAAAGTTTACAAAATACTGGCCTGGACAGAGTTTCATTTAAATGTGTTTAGGACTTGACTGAGGCTATGTCATGACCTGGAAAAAAGCTTGTCTTTTTGTTATTCCCCAAACCCCTCACTTGTTACCCCCAGAGCCTCACCATTAGCTTAAGGCAGTGTTCCCTTTCCCCTTCTCTGGAATTTCCTGGGCTTATTGCCTCTCTCTCTGTCCCTCTCTTCCTATCCCCTCCTGCACTGCCCGCCCCCCATGGCACCCTGTTGACCTGTGGCCCTCTCTCTCTGTCCCCTCCTTCCCATCCGCTCCTGCACTGCCCGCCCCCCATGGCACCCTGTTGACCTGTGGCCCTCTCTCTGTCCCCTCTCTTCCCATCCGCTCCTGCACTACCCACCCCCCATGGCACCCTGTTGACCTGTGGCCCTCTCTCTGTCCCCTCCTTCCCATCCGCTCCTGCACTACCCACCCCCCATGGCACCCTGTTGACCTGTGGCCCTCTCTCTGTCCCTCTCTTCCCATCCGCTCCTGCACTGCCCGCCCCCCATGGCACCCTGTTGACCTGTGGCCCTCTCTCTGTCCCCTCCTTCCCATCCGCTCCTGCACTGCCCGCCCCCCATGGCACCCTGTTGACCTGTGGCCCTCCTGTGAGCTCACTAATTAAGCAGGTGATGTTGTTCATCTTCTAAAGGCTGTAACTCAAGGGCTGTTTCTGGAAAACGTGATGCCTTAACTGGTCCTTCTAGACACATTGTCCCTGCCTTCATTAGGTAGCTTTATAGTGGCTTTGACTTTGAGAATTTTAATCCCACTTAAAGAGTGGGATGAAGTGACTGGTCACACCATGGCAGGGAGAGCTCTTGTCCACTCTGCCTCAGCCAAACCCCGCAGCAGCCAGGTCTGACTCCCCCCGGGCGCTTGCACTCACCTAGTTGAGGAGGTCAGCAGCATGTGACTTCCTGCCTCTCAGTTTTATAGTGGGAAGTGTAAGAAAATAGGGGAAACCATTCCAGTAAACAAGGTATAGCTGGGCTAGGGATTCAGAGCAGCCAGATTCATTTCAGGAATCTGGAGTTTAGCCCTTGGAGTTTAATCCTAGAGTGGCAGCCATGACAAGTATGAAAAGACATTTAAATCCCAAATGGAAACATTATGTATCCCTCTTCAGGGAGAATACCTGTGATACCTACTTCAGAATTTGGTGAGAGGAGGGCACCAAAGAAGACAGTAAAGTTCTCCTTACAATGATTGCTTTGCCATTTGGGATGTTTAAGCAGTTTTAGGTTATAAATTGTTGAGATAACAAATGTTTAACAAATTTTAAAATTTTCACAGATTTTTAAGCAGTCAAATGAATGACTTGTGATTAAAGGTTTGGAATCCTAGAAATGAGTTACTGTTTCAGGGGGTTGCGCTATCACCTGTAATTTTCCCATAGCCAGCCCACATACGGCAGCCACATACATACACCAGAGCTGGCAGGTTCAAATCCAGCTCGGGCCTGCCAAACAACAATGACAACTACAGCCAAAAAATAGCCGGGTGTTGTGGCAGGCACCTGTAGTCCCAGCTACTTGGGAGGCTGAGGCAAGAGAACCGCTTGAGCCCAGGAGTTTGAGGTTGCTGTGAGCTGTGATGCTACCGCACTCTACCCAGAGCGACAGCTTGAGGCTCTGTCTCAAAAAAAAGAAAAATGAAGTCTCCTGATTCTGAAAAATCCCATTTCACTGAAAAAGAAATCTAGTGTAGCCCCATGAAGCCAGAGTTTTATAGCTTCACAATTCCAAATACTGTGACACTGTGTTTGAATATTATTTGACGTAACCACTGTGATATCACAAAGCCACTAACGCTGTGGGTGGGTGTTGCCACTGAATTTGAACCAGGAATTTCTCCTGGTCATCTTACTTGGTGCTCCTATCCAGATGTGAAATATTGACAATATGAGCAGTGTCAGTACTACAAACCAGAAATATTGGCTCTTAAGCTACTGAAAATTCTAATCAGTGTCAATAGAATACTACCCTAGAGTTTGGGGGCTTAAAATTTAAAAAATCTTAGAGACTACTGAATTAATTTTTTTAAATTAAATCATAGCTGTGTGCATTAAGGCAATTATAGGGTACAATGTGCTGGTTTTATTGCAATTTGAAATACTTTCATGAAACTGGTAAACATAGCCTTTACCGCATTTTCTCAGTTATTGTGTTAAGACATTTATATTCTACAGTTAGTAGATTTAACATGTACCCTTGTAAAATGCACCGTAGGTGTAGTCCCGCCCATTACCCTCCCTGCACTCATCCTTCCACCTCCCCTCCTCTCCCCCTCCTCTTTCCCCTTCATCTGGGGCTGTACGGGCTGTATTCCAATTTCCCCCACAAAATGAGAGGACACATTGCTTTATTTTGAATTTGATAATCAAAAAAAAAAAAATAAAATTTTAATGTCTGGTTCTGATTTCTTTCAGAATATACCTGGAGCACGAAAACTGGTCGGGGGCAGTTTTCAGGACCTACTTACAACCCTACAGCAAAAAACCTAAATATCGTGAAGCACGCACAGCCGGTTCCCTCGGTCCACGGGAGGACAGACTGGGTGGCTAAGTACGGAGGCCATCGGTAGGAGTTTCTGGTGTGAAGTCCCACAGCATCGCCCCACAAACCCTGGGAAATGTCTACACATGTCTATTTCTGCTGAATTCTGGAAGAAAAATGCAATAGTAGGTACTCTGAAGAGCAAAAATCATCTCCTATTTATTTCTTTCTGAGAAATGAAACGCATTTTCTTGGCATCGTTGCCCACAGTGCTGATATATGAGTAGGACTTAACAAAGTATTGAATAAACTATTTGCCAAAGCATCAAGTATTTGACCTACAAATTAATAGATAGTAAGTACAAAAGAAAGTTAAAGAAAAAAAGTCTCCAGAGGGAAAGTGTTAGCGTGTGATCGTTTTCATTTGTTGTATGTTTGCTTACATAATTTAACTTTCATCACTTTGCAGTGATTGACCTGAGAGACTTGGTTTTTGCTGTCTTTCCATAGCAATTCGGCCGACCTCAGTGGGCTGTCTCTTGTGGTTCTTATTTGGCTAAGGCTCTGCCCTACCACTTTGGCAATGGCTGAAAGAGTGCGATTATCATCTGGTTTTCTGCTGTGAAGCTGTGGGAATGATGGTAATTCTAATCTGGAGCTGGATGTCTTAGAAATAAATTTATCCGAGTTATGCCACCTAATTTTAGTGGAAAGCCTATTTGTTTGTTCTTGCCCAATACAACTGCATTGAGTGCATGGTGGCTGCATTTGAATTCATGTCAAACCCAATGGCTTGATGGCTTCTATACTGACCAAGTCAAGGTTGTCTCGTCTTCACCTCAAGTCGGTCCTTAAAACTGTACTTGATGTTTGTTCATTGGACTTTAAAAAGGTCCACTGGACACAAAGATGACACGTGCCAGCTCTTCCTCCCAAACCTACTAGTGCTGCTGCAGGTCACTGACTCGGCTGTGACCTTCACATTTGCTCTGAGCAGATGTGTTCAGCTGCTATAGCAGTGGTTGCACATACATATTTTTTTCCTGAGTTTTATTTCTAACTTGGTATTTTAAAGACATTTTGAATTTAGGATTATTCTCTTTAAACCAGCTACTTTATGGACTGGAGATTAGCACTATATATTCTTTTTAAAGAAGAATAATGTTATGAACAACCGAGGTATTCGTGTATGTTATGACTTTGAAACAAATGCTGATGTAATTGGTGTCTTCTTGTGAACACCGTCCAAAGGCACGTTATAAAATGATATGGTATTTATGTATAGAAGATTCAGCTGTTCAGATTTCAGATGTTGAAAAATGTTAAAATTCTAAAGAGTATTTATCCGAGAGGTAACGGTTACATGTATTTGTACAGTTTAATTTGTTCAAAGCTACCAAAGTCTTTTGTGTTGGTGGGAAACTTATAAATTCTGAACAGATATTAAAGTGAATATAGTTAACTAGTGTGTTTTCTTCACATTTTTAAACTTTATACCCTGAAGTCTATTTGTTGTTGCTGCTTTAATTAGTATACTTTTGAAAAAGTAGTTTTAGATTTATGGGAAGATTGAGCAAAAAGTACAGAAAGTTCCCTTATATTCCTCATCTCTTCCTCCCCAATATTCCCTGTTATTAACCTCTTGCATTAGTGTGGTACATTTGTTAAAACCGTTATCCAGTAATATTTAGTAAAATATTACATGTAACTAAAGCCCATACTTTATTAATTAGGGTTTACCCTTTGTGTTACGCTTTCTGTGGGTTTTGACAAAATACAAGATGTGTACCCACCGTGACTGTATCAGACACAAATTGCCCCGCCCTAGGAGACCTCTGCGCTCCACCTGTGGGCCCCTCCCTCTGCCACGCCCCTGGGTAACCACTGATCTTGCCGTCTCCCTAGTTTTTCTTTTGGCAGAGTGTCATGGAGTTGGGATCATAGGCAGCCTCTGCAGACCGGCTTCTTTCACTCTGCAATATGCATTTAAAGTTTCTCCATGGCTTTTCTTGGCTTGATACTTCATTTTGTTTATTGCTGAATAATCTTTCATTGTATTGAAATGAACAACAATCGTTTGTTTATCCGTTCACCTGCTGAAGAAAGGTCACCTGGATTAGTCCCAAGTTTGGGCAGTTATGAATAAAACTGTTATAAACACTTATGTGCATGGTTTTGCATGAATATCCGATTTCATCTCATTTGGAAAAATGTCAAGGAATAGTTTCGCTGGATTTTATGGTAAAGGGTATGTTTAGTTTTGTGAGGAAACTGCCAAACTGTCCTCCAAAGTGGCTGCACCATTGTGCGTTCCCCCAGCAATGAGTGAGAGACACAGTTATTCCACTTCCTCGCCAGAGTCTGGTGGTGTCTGGTGGCTGTGGATTTTGGTCATTCGTTTTTTTGTTGAGACAGAGTCTCATTCTATCACCCTTGGTAGAATGCTGTGGCATCACAGCTCACAGCAACCTCAAACTCTTGGGCTCAAGCAATTCTCTTGCCTCAGCCTCCCAAGAAGCTGGGACTGCAGAAGCCCACCACAGCGCCTGGCTATTTTTTTGTTGCAGCTGTCGTTGTTATTTCTTTAGCTGGCTGGGGCCGGGTTCGAACCCACTAGCCTTAGTCTATGTGCCGGTGCCCTACCCACTGAGCAACAGGAGCTGCCGGATTTTGGTCATTCTAATTAATAGGCGTGTGATGGTATCTCATTGTTTTAATTTGCAACTTCCTGATGACATGTTGAGCACCTTGTCATATGCTTATTTGCCTCAGCCTCCTAAACAGCTTGGACTATAGGTACCAGCCACCATGCCTGGCCAGTTTTTCTCTTTAGTAGAGACAGGGTCTTACTTTGCTCAGGCTGGTCTGGAACTACTGAGTTCAAGGGATCTGCCCACTTTGGCCTCCCAAAGTGCTAGGATTATAGGTTTTGCCCATTTTTTAAATTGGTTGTTCATTTTCTGATTTTTTAGTTTTAAGAATTCTTTATTTTGGTAGCAGTCCTTTATCAGGTATATCTTTTGCAAATATTTTCTCCCAGTCTGTGGCTTGTCTTTCTCTTGACAGAGTGACAAAGAGCAGAAGTTATATAAAAAGTTATCACCGGGCGGCGCCTGTGGCTCAGTGAGTAGGGCGCCGGCCCCATATATTGAGGGTGGCAGGTCCAAACCCGGCTCTGGCCAAACTGCAACAAAAAATAGCCGGGTGTTGTGGTGGACACCTGTAGTCCCAGCTACTTGGGAGGCTGAGGCAGGAGAATCGTCTAAACCCAGGAGTTGGAGGTTGCTGTGAGCTGTGTGACGCCACAGCACTCTGCCGAGGGTGATAAAATAAGACTGTCTCTAAAAAAAAAAAAGAAGTTATCACCAAATCCAAGGCTGCCTATTGTTTTGTCCTATGGTATCTTCTAGGAGTTTTGTAGTTCTGCATTTTACATTTAGATTTGTGAACCATTTTAAGTAAGTTTCTGTGAAAGGTGTAAGTTCTGTGTCTTGATTTTTTTTCTTTTATCTTAATGTCCAGTTGTTCCTACACCATTTGTTGAAAAGACTTTCTCCATTAAATTGCCTTTGTTTCTTTGTTTAGAGATGGCTGCATTTAGCGGGGTCCATTTCTGGGTCCTCTGTTCCAGTCCACTAATCCAGTGGTCTCTTCCTTCACTTACGCCACACCATCTTGTTACTGTAGCTGTGTCGGGTATCATCAGTCCTCTAACTTGTTTCTTCCCTTCAAGGTTGTGTTGACTATTATGGGGCTTTTATCTCTCCACATAAACTCTGTAAGAGTCTGTTTATCAATCTCCATAAAATAATTGACAGGGATTTTGATTGGGATTGCACTGAATCCAGATCAAGCTGGGGGAACTGCTATCTTGACAATATTGTGTCTTCCACCTGTGAATATGGATTATCTCCCCATTTATTAGACCTTTAACTTCTTTCATTAGTTTTTATAGTTTTCCTCATGTAGATCTTACATATGTATATTTTGATAGATTTATACCTAAGTATGTGTGCAGTTGTTTTGGTACTAGGGTAAATGGTGGTGTATTTTTCATTTCAAATTTCAGTTTTCCATTGTTGATACATAAAAATAAATTCACTGTTGTATATTAACTTTATATCCTAACACCTACTATAATCACTTCTTGGTTCCAGGAGATCCTTTGCTGATTCTTTGAGACCTTCTGAGATCATGTCATCTGCAAGCAAAAGTAGTTTTATTTCTTTCTCCCCAAAGAGTAAGCCTTTGTATTTCCTTCCTGGCTTTCTGCATTAGCTCTGATGTCCAATACAGTGTTGAATCCGAGTGGTGAGAGTAGATATCCTACCTTGTTCCTGGTTTTAGTGGGGGAAAACATCTACTTTCTCCCTGTTCAGTACGATGTTTGCTATAGGTTTTTTATAGCTGGTGTTATCAAATTCAGAAAGTTCCCCTCTATTCCTAGTTTGCTGGGAGTTACTATTATAGGTGGGTGTTTTGGTTTTTGTCAATTTTTTTCTGCGTCTATTGATGTGATCATGAGATTTTTCTTCTTTTTTAGCCTGTTGATGTGATACTTACATTAATTGATTTTTCAAATGTTGAACCAGCCTTGCCTACCTGGGATAATTCCCACGTAGTTGTGGTATAGGATATTTTTTATGTATTATTGGATATGACTTCCTAATATTTTGTTGAAGGCTTTTCATCTGTACTCATGTGTCTGTGGATTCAGAGAGAGAAGGGGGACAGAAAGTATGGGCCTGCTGTTAACAATTGGTGAATTGTTAAAACTAGACGAAGGGCATATTTTCTATAGATTTGAAAATGTTCAAATTAAAATGTGAAAACAGCATAAATATATGAAGCAAGGATTTCTCACAAATACAGAAATAATATAACCCTGATCAGAGTGGGAAGTTTTTCTTAGAAAACAGATCTAGAGACCTAAAATAAGTAAATGAATACTTAATAACAGTAAACTTTCTTCAGCCAATATGTAGCATATAGAACTTTAACCAGTAAGGGAAATCTTCATATTCCTCTCAAATACATGTAACATTCCAAAAAATGTTAGGCCAGAAAGAAAATCTTAAATTGTTAAAT